AAAACTAGCCTAGATTAACTAGTATAGCTAGGCGGGAAAAGAAGCAGAGCGGCGTCTATAAGCATAGAGTTACCTATAAATTCTATCTACTCTAGTTAGCTATAAGATAGAGGTTTAGGCTTATAACCTAAATATGCTATAACCTTAAACCCCTCTTCTTATAGTCTAATACTAAAACCTAACTACACTTCTATACATGTTTAAGTTCTGCTAGAGAGTTAAACTATAGTAATTCTAGGCGATCTATCTATACCTTATAAGTGTCTATAGCTATTACTACAAAATTCGCTAGAATTTACTAATATGCTAAAGCTACCTAGTCTAGTATATAGCGCCTTCTTAAAGACTCTTACGCACGCTATTATTCTATAACTACTACTAAAACGTACAAAACTCTACCTACTATACTATTAAGGTAGCGAGTAGATACTAAGCTAAATTAGAAGGAAACTGTACTTACGTAGAAACTTTAGCTGCGGAAGATAAGAGAAGTTAAGGCGGTACCTAGACTACTTTCTCCTCTTCTCTTCTCTCTACATGCAAAGACAAAAAGTAAGCTAGCTAAAATTTTATAGCTACTTCTCTCTCTACTACTACAAACTAAAAACCTTAGATACTACTAGAATGTCTATCTAACGTAACTACGAATAAAAGAATTAAGCGCTATTTATAATAGTAGCAGAGACGTAACTACAAATAAAAGAATTAAGCGCTATTTATAATAGTAGTAGAAACGCGACTATAAATAAAAGGATTAAGCACTATTTATAATAGCAGCAAAAACGCAACTGTAAATAAAAGGATTAAGCGCTATTTATAATAGTAGCAGAAACGTAACTATAAATAAAAGAATTAAGCGCTATTTACAATAGTAGCAGAAACGTAACCTATTCTTATATATGTCTACCTCTAATTACCTAACGTTGTTACTCTCTACGCTTCTTTAAGCTAGCGTACCTCTATTAACTCTTTCTCTTGCATACTCGCAGTCTAGTACTAACTCGCAGCCCTAAAATAAGTTATTATACTTAAATAGTACTAAAAAGCTACTCTTAATAAGAGAATGTCTGCGTCTTGCTCTACTTATAGTAGGTGTACGCGCTACTACTATAGAAGAGTCTAAAAGTAGACAGACATAGAGTATATATACTTAAAGAATAGCTTAATAGTTTAGCTAGCTATAACTTAAGGTAAGTAGCTAAACCTTCTCTAAACCTACGCCTATATTTAACTCTTATTAAGAGTTTAAACGTAAACTAAGTAAGATAATATTTAAACTATTAACTTATATTTTAGCTATAATCTATATTAACTTGTATTTTAGCTACAATTTATATTAACTTGCTACTATAATTTATATTAACTTAATGTTTAATCTATATTAGCTTAATATTAATGTTTACGTATAGGCTAAAAAGTATTTATATTAACCTATTACTATAATTTATATTAACTCTATGTTTTTGCGTATATATTTATATTAACCTACTTATATTAACCTACTACTATAACCTATACTAACGTTGTTTTCGCTATAATCTATATTAACTTAATTTTTAAAGTATTTATATCGACTTAGTTTTCGCTACAATTTATATTAACTTAATGTTAATATTTCTGCACGGATAAAAAGTATTTATATTAACCTACTACTATAATTTATATTAACTCTCTAGTTTTGCCCTGCACGGGCTAGAAAGTATTTATATTAACTTAATATAAATAACTCTAATATATATAGTAGTAGTATAGCTATTTTTCTCTAATATTCTACTAGAGTAGCTACGCGTAGTAGCTAGTAGTAGAATATTAGAAAAAAACTCTAATAAAGTATAGCGCTATTTACTAGCCTAGAGAGGTATTAGAAAAAACTTAATTTAGGTATAGTATACCTTACTTAATCTTACTTATCTAATATCTATAATATTAAACTATAACCTAGATCTAACCTTAAGCTACTAATACTAAAAAAGAAAAAAAAAGAATATAATACCTTTTCTATAAATCTTCTTTATATACTAACTAAGTACTACTTTATACTTTTATATAAGCTTTATATTACTATATATATACTCTCTCTATATACCTAAACTCTCTAGTTTATAGATATTTATTTATCTAATTATAGTAAAATTATAACTATACTATTACTAGATAAGCTAGTCTATTCTAGTATATAATTTCTTACTTCTTTTATATTATTCTATAATATTATCTACTTAAGAAAGAGACTCTACTATTCTTTTTTAAAAAAGTATAAAGTACTACTACTAGTATAAACTAAGTTCTAGACTATTCTATAGTAACGTTACTCTATAACTAGTAGCTCTACTACGTAGCTTTTATACTTCTCTACGTAGAACTACTTCTAGTATAGTAGTTTACTTTATAGATAAATAGAACTCTAATATTTATATATTATACTCTAGCTTACTATAGCGTCTATAGTATTACTAAGCTAGCTAGCTATTATATACTACTACCTTTTTACGCTACTTCTTACTCTTATTCTAATTTATAGCCTTTTTTTAAGTAACTAGCTATAAGCTAGCTTTAATTATAAGAGTATCTCTTTTTTAAATTTACTTTTTTTTATATAAATTATACTTCTTTTTCTATATATTAGCTACTTAAAGCTAGGTAACTTTAGACTCTATAAGTACTAGCTAATACGCTATTAGCTTATTACTTTTCTTAAGCTAATTAAGTAATATAATAATATAAGTTAGTAATAAATTAAGATACTATATAATTTTTAATTAAATTAGAGTTAATTAGAACCTTACTTTAATAAGATTACTAGGTATTTTATACTTCTAGGTAGTAGTATTAGTAGTAGAAAGTATTAGTATACGTAATTAAACTTTAAGCTTTAATACTACTAAATCTAGATTAAATAAAACTAAGCTAGTATCTTTAAATTCTACTTTAATATTATTATCTATAATTAACGCGTAAAAAGCTATATAAAACGTAAATAGAAACTTAGTTTTTATAATATAGTTAATATAGCTATATATTAGAATCTTAACTTAGTAGCTATATACTATCTTTAATAGTAAGAAGTAGCTAATATTAAGTAGCTATAAAAAGTATAATAAATATACTAGTATATAGAAAGCTATAATTTTATTCTTTTTATAGTACTACTAGAATTTAATAAAGCTATAGCTTTTATAGCTATCTAAAATTAGTAGATAATATATATCTATAATATAACTTTTAGTATACGCGTTAAAGTACTTTAACTATATAATACTAACTTTATTTATTATCTAGCTACTTTTAGAGATAGCTATAACCTAGTTATATAGTAGCTAGCTACCTTTATACTATACTAAAAGGTAGTTCTTACTTATAATAATAAGAAATAGTAGAATCTATATATTATCTACTACTCTTACTATTATAATTACTAAAATCTACTTATAATTATCTAGTTAAAAACTCTTTAGTTATAATTATCTCTTAGAGCTAGTAACTACTATCTAAGGTAATATTATTTCTATTATAAAGCTAGATTTATTAAAATTATATATATCTTTATTAGTAATACTATACTTTATCTTTATATTACCTACTAGATTAAACTATATCTAAATAATTATAGAATCTTCTTACTTTACTTTCTAATAGTTATACTTATAATTAAGCTATATTTTAAGCTTAGAATAGTACGTAATAAAGTTATTTAGCTAGTTCTTACCTATAACCTTTTTCTTTTACTTAGTAAGTAGCTTATTAGCTATATCTTAAATAGTAGTAAGCTAGAGAGTAAATTCTTACGCGTCTAGATTAAGTATATACTTAACTATTACCTACTCTTTATTTTTTATAAGCTTTATTAAATTAGGTATTTTTTTATATTATAGAGTAACTCTATAGTATTAATAGTAGACTTTCTTCTACTCTATATTATAGAGAGCTATAGAGCGCTATAAGCTTAGCTCTAGGTTCTATTAAATAGTCTAGAGCGTAAGCTATATTTAGAATTTATCTAAAGTTAATTAGGCATTTATAGAGAGCTTTATAATAAAGATAGTAGTATTTAGTAAAAGCTTAGTATTTTTAGAGTATTTATTTATATAGAGTGTTTATTTATATAAAGCGTTTATTTATAAAGTATATTATAATTTATATTAACTTAATATTAATATTTCTATATAAATAAAAAGTATTTATATTAACTCTCTAGTTTTACTCTATATAGGCTAGAAAGTATTTATATTAACTTAATATAAATAACTTTAATATATATAGAAGTTTTATAGAAGTTCTTTTATATATAAAGCTTTTCTAGCTTTCTTTAGCTTACTACTAAAGGTATTTTTTCTACTACTAACTAGATCTACTAGTAGTCTTATATAGTACTAAAGAGATAAGTAATTAGAGCTCTTATAGCTTTAATTCTTAGAGTAAGTAATTAGACTCTTATAGCTCTAATTCTTAGTATAGCTATTAGTAAACACTTTTTATAAAGCTACTTAGTTTAGTCTAATATTATACTACTATCTCTAGCTAAAGAGATATTAATCTTTAAATAATATTAGAGCTAGCTTTATAGTCTCTACTACTATAAGCGTTCTAGAATACCTAGCTAGGTAAGTTAGCTATAGGTAGTACTATCTCTATAAGCTATAAGAATAGAGATACTAGTAGAGTAGGTTAGGTTAAATTTAGCTATCTAAAGATAAGAAGTAGAAGAATACTTTAAGAGCTCTCTATATATAGAGAGCTAAGCGTTAAGACGCTAGGTAGAGTTATATAACTTAGGTAAGATTATATAACTCTAGTAAATACTAAGCTAGACTATTATATAAAGTATATTAGCGCTTTTTAGTTTTATAGCTAAGATAATCTAGTATTTACTAGTACTAAGTAGAGTAGATCTATAAAATATTTCTAATCTACTACTAGAGGCTACTTGCACTATACTACAATGCTGTAGATAAGACTTTCGCCTAATATAGTACTCTTTTCTAGTCTCGCACACGATATCCTGCAAGACACAAGAAAGATCGAAATCTCAGAGATGGCAGGCCCTGCCTACTCCTCCCCAGAATGGTACCTTCAGGCTAAAGACCAAGACATCAGCAGCGACATTGGTAGACTGACAATCTACCACCTTGGATTCAAGCAGGCGACGGAAGGAACGCTAGTCTTCGCGCCTCTCGAATTCTCCAGCGCGCCGCGAGCGGTTCTTGACGTCGGCACCGCGGACGGTCTCTGGATGCGCGAGGTCTCATCCTCTGTCCCCACCCCACCTCTCGGCGAGCACACTTTCACCGGCACCGACATCAACGCATCCTTCTTTCCCAAGACGAGTCCCGAGAACATCACGTTCGTTAAGCAGGACGTCAAAGATGCTGCCCCACCCGCCTGGCACAGTGCCTTCGACCTCGTCAACATGCGCATGATTCTCATCGCTGCCGGTTCCGGTGCCGCCCAGCGCGCCGCGGTCAACGAGCACATCAAGCTGGTCAAGCCCGGCGGTTGGATCCAGATTGGAGACTGCGATCGCGTGTGTCCGACTCCGGAGGCGGAGAATCCGCGCTATCACGACATGTGGGCGTGCATTAGAGCTGTGTGCGAAGCGTCCGGGGTAGCTACGTTAGAGGCGCCGAAGATCAAGTCATGGTTGGAGGAAGCGGGCCTCGAGGAGGTGCACGAAAGGACCGCGATGCGAGCGGTAGGGAAGAGAAATGCGGATGAGCAGTTGGGAAAGTTAGGCATAAAGGCCGACCTGATTATTGCGAAGGGTTTTGCAGCTGGTGCAAAGGGTGAGTTGCATCTCGCTCGCCTCCAACTCTGTGGACATTACGCACGCTGAAAGTGACAGGTTTGGACCCATCCATCAAACCCTTGCCAGATGAGCGATGCGATTCCTTGGTACAGGAGCTCGAGAAGGAGTTGAGCGAGACAGGTGCATACTTTCCGATGCGCTTCATCTGGGGTAGGAGACCGCTCTGAAAGGATCTCGGCGAGCGATTCCAGCCCGGAACAGCTCCAACGACTTACAGCAAAGGTCTGACGCACGGAAACACCGCAAAGGGAAATCGAAACGCAGATAGTACTGGGAACTTTTCGTAATTCGTTCAGGTCACTTTCCACCCTCTATCCACCATTGCCCTCCACCAACCTATGAATCTTCGCGCTCAATTCCAGCACCCCACTCAGTCATGCCTTCCACCCACTGCGTAGCCTTTCGAGACATGAATTGCACCATGTTTGGGAACATCGGCCCCATCCACACGCTCCGCACTCGCAGAGTTCGCCCCGGACATGTCGTGCAATTGAATGCTTTCCTCTGTGTCCACGTCGCCCTTGGTGTAATGACGCACAACATGGTCATCTGAACCGTGGATGTTCGTTCTAGAGCTCTTCCTGCTGACAATACTGCTCACGGAGCTGACCAGACTACCAAAGATTCCGTTCTGAACGAGGTCACGCATTACGGGGCGAATGGTCGGTGCGCACGCAGCGAGGATGCCGACTTGGATCTCGATGAGAGTCCAGACGCAGGTTGCGGTAACGCCCACTGTGAAGAGTCAATGAGTGGGTGAGATCTGAGGGGTTGAGGTAACGTACATCCCGAGTCCATGATCTTGTCTTTCGGTGCGAACTTGGTGTAAATGCCGATGTACGACCTGGCAGTGCTGGCTCCTACAGAGCTGCCGAAGGTCAGCACTTCTTCCATTTCCACAGAAAGTTTATACGTACAGCAGCCCCACGAGAAATATGGCAATAATGGACAGTTTGTCCGCCAGACGAAGATGTAAAGTCATGACCTGTCTCATGCGTAAGTCCTTGCAAACTATGCGGTCTCGCGCATCGTGCTACACATACCATTGGGATAGGCAGCAGCACCGTGATCAAGTCCGAAACCGTGCCCGAGATCAACACTCCGAAGTCTAATTTCCGTGTACTTCCACACTCCCTGTTCTGCACTGCCGGATTCATATGCGATCGTGCGGAGAAGATGCCATGGTCGCCACAGATGGCCATGAAGGCGGTGAAGAAGGAGATGGTCCAAAGAGTCATAAATACTATCCAGGTGATGACGAAGGGGCGAAAGTTGGGGGTGCTGAAAATTTGGAGATAGAAGAAAGATACGGATGTCTTGACGAAACCGATGGCGAGAATTCCGGTTACGACGAAAGAATAGTTGTGCTTGTAGTCTGTCAGCAGATTCAGTGAAGCAAGGCCAGGAAGGATGCACACCATTCGTAGCCGATAGAGAAAGTCGGTTGCAGCGGCGGGGTTGGTTTTCGCCAATGGCTTGACTCGAACCGCAAATATGCCGTTGGCGGCGCCTGCAATGTGTGTCAGGTCGAGTAAGTAGACGCAGATTTGGGGACCTTTGAGCGTGTGAAAACTTACAATAGATCTGTTCGATCGCAAGGGCGGTCGATAAGATGGCTGCGACTATGATCAGGTAGTCTGAAGTGTGGGACTTCAGACCCTTCATGCGATGCGACACGAATCGTGAGGCGACCATGCCTAGAACCAGAATCTGCACGATTACGGCGGCCGCTATGAGCCCGTCTCGATTGTCGTATGCCATACTGTGCAAAGCGGTTCCAAAAGGCGAAAGAAGGAGTGAGGCTGCTGATGCTGGAAACTGCGGTTGTGGAGTATCGCTACAAATATCGTGGATAAAGACGGGCACGCGGCACCTCCAGTGACGGGAGCCCGGTGCAAGGGCTCCGAGAGGATTTCCTCAGGTTTCGTCGGAAAGTGGCATTGCGCATGGGTGAGGTGTCTTTCTACTGGTTACCGACAGACGCTGTACAACGTCGTGATAAGGAAGGCAGTTCACGCAAACCGCTAGGCGGCAATTTGGAGAGTAGGTAGGAACGGCATTGACTTCCGCGATAAGCATTGAATAAATGAATAACATGAGGCTGTCAAACAAAGCCCTGTCGAGTCTGAGAGTGCCCCGGGGCACACGCACAACTTCAAGCAGGGACAATGAAGATTGAACCGCGCCGCAATACCCAAGCTGTTGGGCGCTATTGATCTTCAAACCTCCAACACTTCAATTTGATCCCTTGACGGGTTTGACCACTCGCCGGCCAGCAAAGAATTACTTCCATATAACAGCATGTTTCGCCGGGGCCTAGATAAAGCGGGGTGCTTTAGAGGTGCTGTTATCATTGGACAGAACCCTTGAAGACGCTAACAGCGTACCCATGCCCTTAGTGATTTTCCGTCTCACGCGCATTAGCGTCGACTTGTGCCATGCAGCCGGTAGTCGCTCTCGGGAGGCGCCGGATGGCCCGCATTTAGCTGTGATAGCGTCCCAATTTCGAGTCTCGTCGACATTGTCGTCCGCTCCTGAAATAGAAGCTCGGAAGCTTTCCCGGGTAGGGGCATACGAGGGCAGATTCACGGCATTGGCGGGTGTCGGACAACTACATGCGATCGAGAGATCTTTGAGGCGGACAACGCCGGTCTTGCCATCCTCGAACATCACTCTGGTAGAGGGACATGAATCATGGAATCGAAAAGATATCATAGATCTACGACCTCACTCAGCTATCCCATTCTGCCATCTGGCGGCACGCTTCTAATCCTCTTCGTTGACATCACCGAAGCTAGGCACACGATCAGCGTCGGATGACGGCGAAACGGTTGGCAAGCAACGTACTTCGTCGTCGCCATCCAGAATCCAATCTCTCCACGCAGCCTCAAGAGTAGTCGACTCCGCCATCAGCTTGAATCGGGACCAGCACATTGTCCATTTCCTCATCTACGATGCTTCAGAGCGAGGACGATTTCAGATATGGCTCAGCACATACCGGCTGGTAAAGGTGCGGCCAAAGCACCCAATATACCGAAGAGCGCAAAGAAGAATTGAGCTTTCATGGTGCCTAGGAGTTCTGTAGTCGACGGGAAGATTGATCAAGATGGATGCGGCGGGCCTCGGACTGACTGACGACGCGCCGTCGAGAAGGAGTCCGACTGACCATCCTTATACCCCTCACAGATCACTCAGCTTTGACCAAGTGTCCAACCATAAGTGGCGTCTCGGGTGACGACTCGGGATTGGCATCTATGGGGCCAATTATATATTGTGATCTGAGACCTTACGGTTGGAGCGTTCTCTGATACGTTACCATACGGTTTGAATCACGTTCCAGAGCACCAGATACTTGTCGGACTTCAACCAGTAGATTAACCATCTAGGATGTTGGCAGGCACGAAAACCAATCAGATCGTTGGCATCTTCTCTTCATCAGGGTCCTCGTATTCATTCGGCGTAAGCGTAGTCTAAGAGTTGCACGTAACGTGCATCACATTTATTGGTACTCGTCGTCAACCCGGGCGCACATCGATCGACCAAGGCCCGGGACTCCTCGCAGAACCCGAACTGCCTCCTTCACACTCTGACTCGACAAAATGGAGAAAACATTATACAAGCTTCTGCCAAAGCGTGATGTCAGTTACGAAGAGTCGTTGTTGGACGAGAAACTCGAGAGTGAAGAGACAGCGACTCCAGAGACCAACTTTCAACGGTTTCTCCCCTCGATCAAGAACGTCATCGCCATATTATACGTCGCAGTATCGTTACCAATACTCGTCTCGACCGTCTGGAATCATAGGGCGCAGATCTACTGTTAGTATCTTTCCAGTCGCATGAAAATCTTGAACAGCCCTCTAATCATCATGTAGCACCTGTAAATCCACTAATAAAATACGAACGCCAGCCCCTCCATGAGGAGCACGAAGACCTCGTGCACAAGGGTTACGTTGGAAACCCAGAAGATACTGAGGAGAACTGGAGGCGCCTACTCGAACGTAAGCCCTTTACCACAGAGACCTTTATAGCGTTTCTACGACTCTCACTAATAAATGCTAGCCATGAACTTCAAAGCCACAGAAGAAGAGCTACACAAATCAAACGTCGAGATCGATGACAGGATCGTCAGAGTCTCTGGCGGCGGCTACGTCGGAGTCCTCTCTGTGTACCACGAACTCCATTGTCTTGTAAGCTACGCATCCCCTATCAGCACTCTTCTGGAGCTGACAGCTCCGTAGGAAGCCTTGCGAAGATCAACCTTGAGGTCTTACTATTATGCGAATATGACTGCAGCCGGAATGGATCACGATGATCGCGTTATCGGCCACTTGAGTGAGGGCAACCCTCTATCCAGTCCGGATACTCAAATATCAAGCGCGATGTACTGACTGGAGTAGCCCACTGTATCGAGTACATCCGACGAACCATCATGTGTCACGCTGACGTTTCTGTTTACGCTGCGACTTGGATCGCAGATTCGCACGAAAATCCCAACAAGGATCTAATATCCAATGGAGAGAGGGAATGTGTGAATTGGGATGCCATCGACAAATGGTCTCGCTCGCGAGCACTGAAGAAGAAGGTGTACAAAGTGAAGCCTGGACCCTTTGAGAAGAATCTGCACCCTGACGAGGGTGATCTTTCTTGATGGGGCTTACGCAAGCTCCAAGCCTCCCGGTCTTGCGATCTGACCAGGACATCGCTCTTTTCCGCCGATCTCGATGATAGTCAGTCCAATGGAGGCATAGAAAACGGAAGCACTACAGACGAAACCATTCGAGAGATCGACTAGGGTGATTCCTACAGTGCAATCGGTAGAAATCGATCAATGCTAGGGATCATGTTGTCTTGACTCCAAATATAGCAATCTTATATCGTAAACCCTAATTAATTGTTCTACATTTCCACATAGCTCAGCGTAACCTCGCAGATCGGGGGCTTTCGTTACCTTCCTCAAATCGAATGATCTTGGTGTCCTCTCGGAGGCTTCCGAGGTTGGTGTTGATAACGTTCATGCATTAGGGTAATGATAAGTTTTCGTGTTCCAGCGGGTCGGTGTCCGTTTTAATTCTTCCCTCACCTTACCTTCCCGATTTAAACCACATAGATTACTTGCATCCTGTGCGCCTCGCTTGGATGGTCCACGATCCATGCAATATGCATATGAACTGTGCCGTACAACCGCAGATCCATTGGGGCCGAAAATTGTGAAGTTCTGACTCGCCCTGCGTTGGGTGTTTGGAGTCATGGCGGCACAGCGGCACAGCCAGTACCCGAAAAAGGGATGCAGTGTATCATCAGCATATAGACTGGGGTTGATGATATTTTCACATGATTGGAGGACCGCCGTCAATGTGAAGTGGAGGGGTTGCCGACTCGTGATACGCTACGATCTGCAATCCCGCCATGTCACCAATCAACGCACAGCTGCAGAAGGCCCTAATATGATCTGACCGGCGCACCGTTGAAGCTAACTCCAGCATGCATCAGCGCTGAGCGGCTGTGGCGTCCATCCCCATCGACCTCCGTTACGCCTCCCGAACTTTACGCCTAGGACCGAAGAGTGACCGCTAAGCAATATGGCGACCAGTGGCGCGCGTTGTGGTTCCGAGGACAAGTCCTCAGGTTCTCTTGAAGTCAGCATCATTCGAAGCAAATCGGACACTCCGGTCCACGACAACAAACATGCCTCTGCCTTTGGTCACACTGCCCGCTCATATGGCCAAGATGAGGAACAAGGACAACCTCCAGAGGCGACAGACGAAGAGATCAAGGATTTACCCCATATCAAAGGAAAGGTACCTATGGCAACCTGGATCTTGGTCGTTGCCTGTGCTTCGACGAACTTCGCTCGTTACGGGATAACGGCTATATTCCGTAAGTCTCGAAAGTGCGATCTAGTCCGTACACTAATTGACATGTACAGAGAATTACATCCAGAAACCCCGCGGCAACCCTTTGCTGCCCGGCGCTTTAGGTCTCGGTCAATCGAAGGCGACAACGATTCAGTTTGCCTTCCTCTTCTTCTGTTATGTCACTCCTCTACCCATGAGCATCCTCTCGGACTCCCGACTTGGAAGATTTACCACTATGATAGTGAGCATGGGATTTTTGATGATGGGTTATGCCTTACTCATCTTGACATCGATCCCACCAGCGCTTGACCACGGGGCGCGCGTCGGAGGCCTCGCGGCAGCAATGATACTCATCGGCATAGGTCAAGGCGGGATGACAGCCACCATGGTTGTATTTATCGGTGACCAAGTGCCAGACACGAAACCGACCGTTGTGCGCGTTAAGGATAAGCTGGCTGTAGTTGACCGTAAGGTGACTATTCAGTTCCTGTTCAACGTCCTCTTCTGGCTTGGTAATCTAGCGGCCATGTCAATGCTGCCTACGACACTGCTGGAGAAGCATGTCGGCTTTTGGGTCGCGTTTCTCATGCCGACTTGCATTATGGCGCTTTGCGTTGCCGCGCTGCTCATCTGCAACAAGAGTCTCGTCAAGCTTCCCCCTCAGGGCAATGCCCTCTCACAAGCGTACCGTGTCCTTCTGATAGCATGCCGTTCGGGATTCCGATTGTCTGCGGCTGACCCATCGATCCATCCGCAAAAGGCAGCAAACTCTTGGACGTCAAGCTTTGTTGGGGAGATTCGCCGGGGCTTGACGGCATGTCGCGTTATGATCTGTTTCACGATCTTCTGGCTATGTTACAACCAAGCGGGAAACAATTTTGTCTCCCAGGCAAGCCAGATGGAAACTGGAGGTATCTCGAACGATACGCTGCAGGTCTTCAACCCTATCGCCGTTGTCCTTGTCATGCCTATCATCCACCTCCTCCAGGATCTCATGCGAAAGTGGAAAGTTGCCTTTGGGCCTATTCTGAGAATGGCAATTGGCTTTTTCGTCATTGGAATAGCCTTGGCCTACGCAGCTGGCCTACAACACTTCATCTACTCCCGTGGGCCCTGCTTCTCACATCCTCTCGCTTGCTCCGCCGCCGTTGACAATGGATCTTCTGCATCTCACGAAAGACGACCAAATGACATCACAGTCTGGCTTCAGATACCCTTATACCTATTACTCGCTATCGGTGAGAGTCTTGGCCTGGTGGCACTGTACGAATATTCATTCTCAGAGGCGCCAACGAACATGAAGTCGCTCGTTCAATCGATTGGGCAGCTCACAGTAGCCTTGGCCTCAGTAATCGGCGTAGCGTTAGGCCCAGTATCAAAAGATCCGTACCTTGTCATTCTCTACGGCTGTCTTGCTGGGGTGATAGGTGTTGGTGCTATACCGTTCTGGATGGTCTTTCAGAGGTACGATTCAGAATACGAGAGACAGACGGCGACGACGACCTAGCGCTTGAATTCTATCACGACCTGCTAGATCCTATCTAGTACTACCGGATCCACGTTCTTCAAAGGTGTGCGATTCTGGCTGGTTATCTTCTCGATATGCCTCTCACGGCGCTTGACGGCACAGAAGTCAACATCGCATTGCCCCACGTCGCCAACGAAATCCGACTTGAAGAGAAGCACATTTGGGTCGCGAACTCGTTCTGGATCGTGCGGACGGTCTTCTAACCCCTTATCGCTCAATTATCAGACACCTTTGGGCGAAGGGCGCCAATGATCGCCTCTGTGGCAACTTTCGGAATAGGCAGCGCCGTCGCTGGATCATCAGGTTCGAGCGGTATGCTCACAGCTGGAAGAACCATCCAGGGAGTAGGCTCCGCCCGGATTATGCTGCTCATGGAGGTCATCGTGTGCGACATTGTGCCGCTCCGCCGGCGGGGCAAGTACATGTCCTTCACGCTTTCTTGGTGCGCTGCGGGAGCAGTTGTCGGGCGGCCGGTCGGCGGTGCCATCGCTCAGAAGAACTGGAGGTGGATCTTCTATCTACGCGTGCCGATCTCTGGATTGGTTCTGATGCTTATGATCGTTTGTCTGCGACTCCAGCATCGCGCGGAGCCCACACGGGCTCGAGCTTTAGCTCGAGTTGATTGGATCGGTAATGGGATATTCATGGGAGCGTTGACATCGATCCTGTTTGGATTGGTGTTCAGTGGCACAGTGTTCCCATGGAGATCGTGGCACGTTGTCCTCCCTCTCGCTGTTTGGCCGGTCGGCTGGATTGCTTTCCATGGCCTCGATCGTTCGAAGTACTGTAAAAAACCAACAGTTACGAAACACATCATTGGCAATAGGACCTCTATCGGCGCGTTGGGCCTTGTGTTCCTCTCATCAGTCCTCACGACATGGTTCGCATTCGCATGGCCATTGTACTGGCAGGCTGTTTTCGGAACATTGCCGTTAAAGGCTGGGACCAACTACCTCGTCTTCGAAGCCTTCGCTATTCCATCCGCAGCTGTCGCGGACCAACTGCTGGCGAGGCTAGGCGTATATCGACCTATTCACCTCTTTGGATTCCTTCTCTCGACCCTAGACGCGGACTCACCCTACTCTTATCCTCGTCCACAAAAACAGCTATTTGGGCAGTTTTCCTAGCCTTGAATGCCATCGGGATAGGAGTCACTGTGCCAACGGTGTTACCGGCTATGCTCAGCTCCTTAAATGAGTCGGATGTCGCGGCGGCTACTGGAATGTACTCGGTTCTCAGGAGTTTCGGCTTTATTTGGGGTGCCGACATTCCAGGTATCATTTTAAACGCCCCTTTTGATCGCTTTGCCAATCGCATTAGCGACCCTCAGGCGCGCCAGACACTGTCACATGGACGAGCCTATCAGTTTACGAGTAGCACATATATCGGTTCACTGGTGCCGAGCGTGCGAGAAGAAGTCATTACCGTCTTCTTGAAAGCCTTGAATTTCAGTTGGGGAGTGTCGATTACGTTCGGCGGATTGGGCGTCTTGCTCTTCTTCGTTGAGAAGCATTATGCACATTTAGACACCAAATTTGGAATAGAGACAAGACCGGAAGGCGAGAAACCTCTATCGGCGGGCCCTTAATCATAACCAACTAATCTCACTTCGACCACCGGCCCCGTATATCCATTTCTCGCCCGTAGGAGGTAGTACCCCATACTGAAAATGGCTACGGACCCAAGAACGGTAGAACTCCAATTCATGTTCGCTGCTGTTACGGGTAGCATAGTTGGCCAGTAACCAAAGAAAATAACCAGAAGCAAATATGCGCATGCCACGATGTTGTTCAAGGTTCCTAGTAGACCCTTCAATCGCCATGGGCCCCACTCGTATGGACGCTCCTTGGTGGGTTCTGTATCAGGATCGCGGATGTCTCCACGGATACGACGGTAGAGAAGAATACCGCATGCGAGAAGGTACGAGGAGTAGAAGGCTTCGAGGGCCATGGATACCACCGCGTTGAAGGCCGTGGTGCTGCCGATGTTGATGAGGCCGATCAACAAGCCGCCAATGAAAACGACGACTACTGCAGCTAGTGGGATTGTAGTGCGTCCGTCGACCTAGGTGTCTATATTAATCATCCACCAATTGGCTAGGCGAGTCCTGGTGGCGTGCGTACCTTCTTCAGAGTTGCATGCCCGGGAAGGCCCCGGTCTCTTGCAAAACTCCACATCATCCGAGAAGCTGCTGCAACAGAGTCTACACAACAGAAGAGCTCCAGGACAATGATCAAGGAAGTCATTGCCGTAGCACCAGCCTTTGATCCCACGCTTGAGGCGAAAATCGCGATGAACGGGAAGCCGTTTGGTGCGTTGTTCATAGCATCTTCCATGCTGCCCATATGGAATAGTACGGCGAGCAAGATTCCAAAAGCCAGGACGCCGTTTAGCAGGGTGGAATAGATCATGGATCGTGGAACATTCTTTGCTGCGTTACGCACCTCTTCGGACATCTGTTGAGCCAGTGAGCGCGGAAGAGCACAATCGTTCGACATGAAACTCACATGTACGGGTCCATCAGTGCCCACAAAGGCTATCGCATTGCCATTCAACCCAACGAAGAAAGACAAGGCCTGCGAGCTGAAGCCCCCAGCATTCTGCCACGTGTTGAAGACAGCAGAAGGCTGGGACCTGGGTCCCAAGCACACTACCGGGAGTAGAACGGCGAAGAAGCCTACCACGTGGAGAACTAGAATGGCGACTTCGATGGCGGGAAGCACGTTCATGAATGCCACGTTGATGACCAAGCTGATCAACAGGACGCCCCAGAACAAAAGTGTTCCTTGCCATCCTACAGGGTCGTAGTTGTCTAGGTTGAGTACCATCAATGCTTGGATTAGCGAGCTGACGAAAAATGCTATTGCTGAAGTTCCGACCGTCCATCCGACTACGGTAATCCACCCTGTTCTTGAAATTAGGACGGCCTTTGTAGATTAGAAACATACCATTATAACTCACCGGTAACATAGCTTAAAACTCGTTGAGATGACTCTGGCGCCAGGAGACTAACCCAGTGGTACTGGCCTCCTGCAGTTGGTATCATGGAAGCTAGTTCACCCATGACAATAAATACGGATATCGTGCCTAACCAAGCAATAAAAAAGCTGTAAATGAGGCCGGCGGGTCCACCGCTGCTGAGATGTCAGTAATGCTATTTCCATGGCTGGACGCAAGCACTTGGCGGCCTTCGGCGTCTACTAACTTTGCGAATCCGAGCGTGAACGCGACGAGCATACCCTCCCACGTGCACATCAACCCACAGGAGAACCCAGTCATTGACCAAAAACCAAATCGTCGCTGCTGATCGTCAATTGATCTTATCGGAGAAGTTCGAAGTTTCGAGTGGATGTACAGTAAGGACTTCCTTCTTGCCTGACCTTGCAAGCGCAATCGCATCTGGGTTGCTGGCGGCCGCGACTTCGATTGTCTCTGGCGTGATCTTGTTGTCGCGCGCAACATACGACATTGCGTGATGGTCGGACTCATTTGGACTTTGCATCGTGGATGGTCAGTGCGGAGGACTGAGAAACGACATAATTAAATCATGAAAGAAACCGCGGATCTGCGGGCATAGATATAGAAACCCCGCCGATACGCCCTGAGCCCGAAACAACGGAGGTTGACTCATTGATATGATTGGACTCTTCGGCAGTTGGAAATAGCACCTGCAGGCTTTATCTATTGGCAGCCGGGGGCCCCGGTCAAATCGAAAGCGACAGGCTATAGCTACGACACCGGCTCCTTGAATTTCGCACCGCATCTCGAAACCACACCTGGGCCAAATATTTTCGGTTCTTTGGTATGCCGAATACCAGGACTGCAGCTTTAGAGCCTATGTCAGGGAATGCCGGCATGATCATAATTCTAACGAAGCATGAGTTAGTTGGCATCGTGCCATGCCCAAGTCTCGTTCGCCACACTCAGATCAATTGGAGGGTCGGGTTTTTCGCCCCAAAACTGTGGCTATAATGCTGCCTTTGAAAGTTGCGATCGGGAGAGTTTGAGGAACACATTAAATGATGCTCTTCCGGGGTTATCCATGCACGCCTTGCGTCGGTTCCTAGGTCATGGCACCCAAATGGCGTCTCCAACAAGGCGATATCTGTGTAGCCGTTTCTCGAAGTCTGAAACGCCGACTCAGCGGAGGACTAGCCCAGTCCGCGAAAAATTGCCCCGCGACTCGATTTCGACGGCGACAATTTGGTCTTCCGGTTCCGAGATCTTCGGGCCCACACCCAAGTAGCACCCTTGATGAATCGGTACGCTCGGCAACCATTCGAAAGATCCGGTAAAAAGAGTCGTGAGACAGATGGCTCTATTGGATTCGTCAATCAGCGAATTTGACGATTCCAGGCAATCCCTTCATTGGGCAACATCGAGTAGCTTGCACAAAAGCTTCGCGAAAGAATGTGCCTTCACTCTTTTTAACTGAATCGTGAAAATTATTTGAACTTTTGTGCCGCAAAAGAGTATTGATTTTAGACGCCCGGAAGGGCGATAGATCGAAAATATGTCCGATGAGATTGTGGCACAATTCCAGGGAAGTATGATGGCCAAGCGTTTCTTGAAAGACGCTCCGAAGCGAAGCTCCAAATCCGACGATATCTGAGCGGGAAGGGTCACCACATGTGAACGAAACCCGCCTCTAGATGCTCGCGAACTAGCCCAAGTTGGGCCAGTCTAGCACGTGAGCGACCACTTCCATGGTCAGCGTTTGAGCGCCGATTCGAACAGGCCTGACTCGGCATTTGTGACTTAGAGGCGACGCATCAAGGCTAGGCGCTTGCCAATCTGGGGCCCAAGAGGGGAGATTAGCATCAGACTGATATGTCCGCTCCGCATGCCTGGACTAGTATCCACAGTATATGGCCTCTTGAGATTGCTGACGCTGCAAAGGATATATAGCATCGTGCCGGATCTTCAGAGTGATCGACGGCGAAAGGTATGCCTTCCAACGAGTAGCCTCGAACTCCAAAAATGGACCTTAAATTTGGGCTCGTGATTATCGTCTTCACTGTAATAGTAAGGTTCCGATCAGGGCTTAATGCTGGTCCGAGACTTGTAGGGTAAGTAATGAGGGGAGTACCTGCTAGTGCACCTAGAGCATAGATTATATCTCTTGGATCTAAGCATGCATAGTCGTCGAAGGTAACCAGCAGATGTAAAGGTGCCCCCCGAAAGTGAGAGTTTTGTCGCCATGGACCCGGTCCGGAATGTCGCGAGGTTGAAAGCGATCCGGCCCGCGGGTGCTGAACAGGTCATAATCTGGGTTAACACTTGGCACTGACCATATCTTCCATAGGCCGAACGGGGACTTACGGGACCAAGTCAGCCAAGGTAAGGCTTCAAGGCGTTGTTTGTACTGATATGCTCCAGAGTTGACACGAAGCGAAACTAGGATATTTGATGGAGACCATAGAGCAGAACAAGTTCGGCGTTCAAGACCACTTCCTAAATAATCCATCGTCATAACTATAGGATCTGCGTATTTTTTACTTAATACTATACTTATTTATTTTGTTTCAAGTAACAATACTGCGTCCGTTATCGTCGTACTGCATTAGCGCTGACTCTGAATCTGCGGATACTCACCAATAGCAGCACTGAGTCACGAACCGGCAGACCATTCAGCTTGACCCACGTAGGCATGCGTTTGAAAATATCATTCGATGAATTTTTATCTGGGAAAATGATGTACGGGTCCTCGATAGATCTTTAAACACCAGGCGTCAGACTTCAGAGACTTCAGAACGCTGTCCTTGTACATATCGGAAGTAACGACAGGCTTTCCGATGCAAAGCGCAATTTGTAATTGTTTATACACTATCGAAGCGATTCCTGGCAAAAGCCATGGCCTCATCGCGGCAACGACGATCGCTAAAGGCACACGCATTCTCTCCGAGTTCCCATTGTTCAAGGTCCCCAAAGGCGGAAACTCCAAGAAGCGCGTCCGTGATTCCATCTCCGACAAGGTTGCCGTTCTTCCGGAAGAACAGCGGCAGACATTCCTCTCTTTGCACAACTCTTTTGAGGATGAAGACGGTCCAGTGCTTGGAAGAGTCCGAACTAACGCACTGCCTCTTGGATCCAATGCGACGATGGGCGGTATCTTTCTAGAATCGTCCCGCATCAATCACTCCTGCAATCCGAACGCCCAGAACACTTGGAACGATAATCTCCAGAAGCTCACGATCCATGCCATTCGGGACATTTCGAAAGGCGATGAGATCACAATATTCTACCTCACCGCCCGTCGAAACCGCAGCGCTCGCCTGCGAGCTCTACAGACCGACTTCTGCTTTACTTGCTCCTGCAGTCTCTGCTCCCTACCCCTTGACCAACGCAAGACGAGCGACGAAAGATGGGACGAGATCCACAGGCTCGACAGTTCAATTGGTAGTGGTACGGGGATTCTATCTGCCCCCTTACAGACCCTGCACGACGTACATAAGCTGCTGGATCTAGTCCATGACGAAGGCTTCGCTGATGCGAGTGTTCCGAGGGCCTACTACGATGCGTTCCAGATTGCCATCACTCATGGAGATATAGCAAGGGCAAGAGTTTTTGCAGAGCGAGCGGCTTCTACTCGGGAAATTTTGGAGGGCAACGACAGCCCAACGGTACAAAGGATGAAGAGCTTGGCTACAAACCCAACCCAGCACCTAGCGCATGGCCTTTCGCAGAAATGGAGAACAACAGGGGATGATGTCCCAAAAGAGCTCGCTAACGATGAGTTCGAACGCTGGCTATGGAGGGAGAACACCACACAGGTCTCGCAGTACGCTGATTTGCGGAGCGAAACAGCCTTTCCCCTGTTCGATGATCTGCCTGAAGAGAATGACATCAGTTTGGAGTTCTATGAGAGTACTGATGGGTTTTCGTACAGGCCGCGCAAACACTGGTGCTTTCTGGCCGAGATTATTGACGTTGAGAACTTTATGCGCCTGAGGCTCATCGTCAAGGACAAGGCCGGCCGTAAAGTTCCAATTGCTTTCTACACCGAGAGTCGTGGTCTCGAAGTAGATCCGTCATATATCCAGGAAGGCTTCACGGTTGCGATTCTATATGCAGAGCAGCACGGATTTCTAGATCTCTCTGTAGGGATTCGCCACGAGAATCCAACGGCAATTAAGGTAAAGTCACCTGAACTAAGGAGTTCCTCTTTTCCAGCTAAGGCTTCTCATGCTAATTAGTTTTGGTGACAGATCGTCCCCCTCCCGCTGGACGAACTATTGACGCTAAGCGACAAGGTACAGCAGTACGCAACAGAGCTGAAAGGTGTGAGGACATGCCAGGGATGCAATCAAAAAGCGGCCACTTTGAAGAAGTGCTCGAGGTGCGGCTTTTTCTGGTATTGCGATAAGGTATGGCAACCCCATTCTGCCATTGGTTGGTTCGAGGCCTCTCTCTAACCCTATGGTTGACTAGTCCTGTCAAATTGCTGGTTGGAAAGAGAAGGGCCACAAGGCTGATTGCAAGCTTCTCAAGGATCCTGATTTGCAGAGACTGTTCCTCATGAAGTGGAACGTCTTTGAGGATTACTATAGATTTGGTATGACGGTTTGACCAAGTCAGGTGCATGACTACTGAGATAGAGGGGCTCCTTGTAACGCCAAATCACGAATGCTCTTTAATTTTGTGGCTTTGTTGTTTTAGCCATCTTTTGTTACGAAGTTTCGACCGTTCCTGGGAGAAGAATTCGACTGAACTTGGGGCATGAAGCCTTTCAAGCGTCTAACCACGAGTGAACTATCCACTTCTCCGGAAATCCAAGCCTCACGGCGGCAGGCTGAACTCTTCATTAGTGTTGTTGAAGGGAGGGATAGAGACGCCCGGGGCGGCGTGCGGCTGATTGCACATCCCATGGTGTGACACGGTAAGGCTGAGATGCAGCGGTAAGGCTTCAGCAGAAGACAAATCTGCAAGTACCGACCACCTTCATGGCACTAGCAGGGAGGACGGCCGACCCGCTCCGGCCATGCCCTTGTGAAGTGCATATGAAGAGGGATCGGGACGTGGCGTTGATGACTTGCAGTTGATAGTAGCGAGCGGTAGCAATGCCTAGGGACATAAAAGGCTCTATAGCGTGAATCGGAGCAGGACGCACGAGACCTAGATCAGGCATAGCCAAGGGGTGGGAGCGGCAAGAGCATTAGCCACAGGCGCGTCATGTGGCCCAGCAGCTGTGTGGCGCTATTGCTGAGTCAACCAGGTTGTGAATCTGCGATCGGTTCTGCGTAACGGCCATTAGCATAACTTACGGCTATGTTTATGTCTCAGGCTCCTCTAACAGCGCATCAGAATACCACACCACCTTCTGGGTTTCCAGACTCGCTGTTAACGCCCCGCCGACCGAACGAGAAGCCCTTTGCGCAAGCCCGCACCCCACTGCCCCCACGACTCTCCGTCTACTTCTCGCAGTCCGACTACGACGGCGATGACAGCGCTGCCCCCTTCACCCCCTACCCCGTGTATCCCCGACAGCCTTCATCGCCGACCAATCCTGTCCCCCCCAAGTGCTATGTGCTTTAGAATGAGGCGAGGGAGGACCCTTGGGACGTAAGCCAGGCAATGGATTGACCGAACAGGTTGGATATAAAAGAGGTGCCAGTGAAGGCGCTCATCCCTAGGGCGTCCCTTTGCTCAGCCTCCTCCGTATCGTCTCTCCCGATTATTACTCTCCCTCTATTCTGCACTTCTTATAGCACACTTAACATTTACAATATTAGCCACAGCCGCCGCGTCCTACTCCCCTAACCAATTCCAGCGTCTTCCCATAAAGTGTGTAATGACGCGCTTGTCGCTGGCGTCCTTACACATATGAACGGAGATATTGCACGCCACGGCGGAAGGTGCAGAGAATACTGAGCATAAATTGCGGAACGCTGAGTCAACCAGAATTGGATCATTGATATGCAGAAAAAGTCGCTTATCGTATCAAAAAGGGGCAAGGGGTGCAGGTGGACATCCCTCCTTCTCAGGATGGAGCGATGGCCCACACAGGAGTGATCTATGTGGGGAGTGCCAGCAGGGCCATTGCAACGGAATGGTAAGGAGGGCTTTTGCCAATTTACAATGATGTCGAATTTCAAACGTCGTCAATCAACCAAGCCAACGGTAGTCGCTTAAGAGAGCAAATGCATTACGCCCCTTCATACTACACTGATTCCTCGAGGTCAAGAAAAATCAATCAATCAATCAATCCTCGAGGTCCTGATTGCACTCTTGCGCGAATGGCAACACAAGCCGCTCCTAATGCAGACCGACCATCGCCGAGTCGACAGCCCGGAGGGTTGCGGCCATAATACCCTCATCAATGTCCCCTAAGAGGATGGAGGCGTATTGCATTTCGCATCGCCGCAGTTTCCAGGAGCAGCAGGCCCTTCGACATAATTTTTAACACAGTGCTCAGGGTCGTCGCAAGTAGAAGTTACTACGGGTTTGCCTTTGATGTGACCACATTCCCAGTACGTGGTGGTTACAGTACACATCCTTCTGGATCAGTGTCAGACGAGGGATCCTCTCAGGCAACCACTGGGCTTACTGTACCCCTTGGATGTATATCGTAAATATTTTTCAGTCTTGAAAGTTTGAGAAGCGATGAAACCGAGGCCCGCCTGTTGAGGAGATGAGATCTCTCCGCCTGCCCGATTCCAGTTGACCGTCTGTTGGCTAGGTAGATCGCCGTGCAAGATAATAGGTATCAAAGTAAGTAAACAAAGCTGCGTCCAATATTGACAGCACAAATGTGAAGCGCTCTGTCCAAAAGTGTTTGCTTGCTGCATCGATATCGTTGCCGTTGCTGTTGCCATGTGATTGCCCCGCTCCGCCAAGCGCATTGCATGGTCCGTTTCCGCCACATGCATCAGCCACAGCCTTGGCCACAGCCCTAAAAACGTCGCTCGGCTCCACTCCACTGCATCACACTCCCAACCTCTATGCTCAGACCCCACCACTACCCGTTTGTTCATTTAAAAAGCGAATAATGGGCAGCGCAGAATGGCATTCGAGCTTTATATTCCCCCATGTGTAAATCGCCCCCCTCACCGTTATCATCCACCACCACCCGATAAGCCACTTAGAATTCGGATACAAGGGCCGCTGGAGACCATACAGAAGCTTTTGCCAAACGTATCTTGGCATCCGATCGGGCCTTTTCCACAGCCAGGAGGGCCGAAGCTTGCGAGCCTTACACATCAGAAACTGTACGGGGGGGAAGGAGATGAGGCGGCTCCGGTGGTGCGGGATGAGTACCCGGCCTGGGTAGTAGAAGGAGGAATACCACAGGAGTAAGAATGCGATTGCTGAAGTCGGCTGTTTGATGATTATGGGAACTGACTATTATCCATCGCCTTAGCTGCATCGACTACTACGGGGTCACATTTGACCACCTCGTCCCGGCCGACGACCCAAACCCAGAAGTACTCGTAATCAACATTATTGAAGTAGACAGTGACGGAGGAGTATACGCGGACGGAGGGCAATACGCAAACGAAGTACTTTTGTTCCCCGTCAATCCGATACAATACACAGGAAAGAAAGTACTCGCCGTGCCGAGATGCTGTCAGCATAAGAAAGGCACACAGGATCGCAGGCGAATAAATAGCGAGGTAGCGGAGAGAGATAGCGAGATCCAGGGACGTTCGCAACGGTGATGCCGTCTGCAACGTCACTCAAGACGCAGTTGCGAAGCGAGCTGGGAGGCTTTGTCGCGGGAGGACTGGCCAATTACACCTGTCCACTAAGGTAACTCATGGGAATTATTTTGGTGATACAAATACGCGCCAAGGCTTGCCGACCGTGCTGTGCCGCGTTGGAGTGAAAGGCTGTGGCACCAACCTCAAAAGTCAGAAATTGCCCACTTTATCGCACATACGCATTCTGCACCTGCATGTATGAATTCTCGCAATCGCGCCCACATAGTGCTCGTAAGTCAATAGATTTCGGGAATCCACATCAGCAGATCGAGAACCAAGAGGACGCCACCCGCTCATTCTTCCACATTTACTGCCGAACTTCTCTGATCGACTCCGTAGGTAGCCCTACGACCGAGAAACCACCTTTCATCATGACTGTAGCATCACCAGGTGCAGTCGTGCTCACAGTGGCTGCGATTGGCGTGTGCTGGGCCTTGACGAAGTTTCACGGGAACCGCTCGCGCGTCAACAAACTACGCTTGGTCTTGTCAGTAATACACTCCATCATCTGAAAAGCCTGTTGCTGACGGCCCTAGCCTATGCCGCCATGGAGCTGGCTTTTCGGTCACCTTGTCTTCTTTCGCCAGTACCAGAAGCGATACCCCCCAGATCTGTTTGTGCCAGTTGTCATGGACAAAATGGGCGAAGAGTTCCGCGAAGCCGATATCTTTTACGTCGATCTGTGGCCCTTTGCCACCACCTTCCTCATTGTCAACGATCCAGATGTAGCCATGCAGGTTAGTTCCGCAAAACAGGTCTACTCGAAGCCAGAGATGTACAAGTTTACGATCGACCCTCTTATCGGAGGACCGAATATATTGACCACGAATGGGGAAGATTGGAAGCAGTGGAGAGGCGTATTCAATCCGGCTTTTGCGCACGGTTACCTGATGGGACAAGTACCTGCAATCGTGGAGAAGGGCGAGGTGTTCTGTGAGAAGTTACGAGAACGCGCCAGTTCTCCCTTTCCTCTGGAAGACATCGCGACAAGGCTGACAATAGACATCATCATCAAAGTTGCATTGTGCGTATCCATTGCAGTCATCGACGAGTGCTAACAAGCAAAGGGACGATGATCTCGACTACCAACGCGCTCCCAATCCCCTTGCGGATTCGCTTCGCAGCATCGTCGGCTGGTCCAATTTCGGAAACCCCTTCCAACATCTTCATCCTATTCGCCCTTTTGCGTTACGATATTACGGCAAGATCATGGATGAATACGTATACAAGGAGCTCAACTCCCGTTTTGAGGAAGTTAAGCGGGAATGTCTTAATGGGACCCCGAAGGATTCGAAATCCGTGATATCGCTAGCACTGAGAGACTACCTTTCCCGGCTCAAAGACAAGGATATCGCGCAAGCAAAGCTAGATCCAACATTTGCTGAACATGCGACGCGGCAGATGCGCCTCTTCCTCTTCGCTGGCCATGACACGACAACCAGCGTCTTGGTATATACGTACCACATGCTCTCCAAGTACCCAAATATCTTGAAGCACATGCAGGAGGAGCATGCCAGCATCTTCGGCCCGGATCCGCGCAATGCCTCTCAGCAGCTTACCGATGAGCCATCCCTCTTGAACAGACTTCCCTACACCGTCGCCGCAATCAAGGAGAGCATGCGCTTTTATCCTCCCGCGGGAGCGAACAAAGCGGGCTTACCAGGCGTGCCCCTTGTGGGCCGCCATGGCACTCTGTATCCCACCGAGGGAGTTCATATCTCTATCCAACACCACGAACTGCATCATCATCCACTCCTCTGGCCCCGCGTCAAAGAGTTCCTGCCCGAGAGGTGGCTGGTCGAAGAGGGACACGAACTGTACCCGCCAGCCGGTGCATTTCGAGCGTTCGAGCATGGACCGCGGAACTGCATTGGGCAGAATCTGGCCATGCTGGAGTTAAGAGTCGTGCTTGTGCTGACAGTGAGAAGGTTTGAGATTAAGCCTGCATATGAAGAATGGGATGGTGTTAGGCCGAAGGGGTGGGCAGAAAGGGTGGGATTGAAGAAGAGAGAGGTTGAGAATTTTGAAGGGGAGAGGGCATATCAGGTTGAGAAGGGCGCAGCGCATCCAAAGGATGGGTATCCATGTCGAGTCACTCTCTTGGATGCTTGAGAATGGTGCGGGGTGTGTGGAAATTATGGTCCTCTTCAATGTAGGTTAGTTACCATTGTGGAAGTTTTACAATTTTTGCTTCTCTGATGCTCTTGATCCTAAGCTTTATCTTAAGCCAATCCATAAAGGGGTGTATATGGATCTCAATCGCCCCTCTGTCACTCAATTGCTCCTCCTCAAATCTCCTTTCGGACCAGTGGGTGGTAGCTTGCCGGCCTGGAACAGAGTCCGGCTTGACGGAGCACGACTACGCTCACGACGAGGAGGATGATACGAGTCATCACCGCGCCTCCAATGAGAGCCGTCTATATCACGTCGCCACTCGTTGTCGCGGTGTCTTGATTGTGCCCTGTCGTAACCAGGGTCCCTTGGTCGTCCATAGTCTCCAGGTGCCCTAGATCTTCCGCGGTCTGTGGGAGCTTTCGACCGTCCCCGCGCTCGATCCGGGTCTCGGCCCCTCTCCCTTTCGCCGCTTGCGTTGTGTCCATTGTCCCACTCGTGGCCACGCATCGTAGAGCGGCTCCTAGCGCGAATCCCGTCTCGATCTTGGTCTCGGCGATTCTGACGGCCCCGTTCCTCCATATGTCCAACAACCATCGTGGCATCATCGAATCCCTGCAGAGGACCCCTCTCTCCCTTCACATATTCCAACTGCTCCTCGAGCTCCTTAATCCTTCGTTCTCGAGAGAGCATATCTTGAACGTAGCCCGTATTCTCCGCGCGCAGGTCCGCATTCGCACGCAGCAGATGGGCGTTCTCCTGCAGCAGTGTCGCGTTTTCCTGGATCACCTTGTCTTTCTCTTCGACCCGCTTCGCGTGAGAACTCACCATGCCGGCATGGTCCTTAGTTATATCCTTGAGTCGCCTGTTGATGTTGGCCTTGTCCTTGGCGACAATTGCCTTGTCTTCGGCGAGTTTGGCTTTCTCCGCCGTCAACCTGGCGTTGTCCCCGTGCAGGGCGGCAATGTGATCATTCAGCTCCTCGATCCGGCCATGGAGGAACGTCTTCTCATCCGGGGAACTGAAAGGTGCCCTAGTGCGCTTAGCATATACCTGTTATGGCTGACGGAACGCCATGCCTGCCAAGATCACCTGCGTTCGGCGGTATAATGGTGTGAACATGAGTCTGTTCTTGGGCCTCCCGGCGCTCAAAAGCGGAGGTCTCGCAATCCGGCCGGGGCCGCTTGCGCGACAGCTCCTGCACTCGGTCTCGCTCGTCGTCCTTGTAGGGGCTGTCGTTTGTAGGAGCGACGCAGAGTCGAGGATCACGAAAATGATTATAATGACCCGCCATGGCGCACAAGCGCTCGTTCAAGGTATTGTGATAGTCGCATACTTTGGCGCCCAGGTGTTTTGTTGTCGCGCCACGTCGCGTCTGAGTTGCTGCAGCCACCGTTTCGGTAAACATTCCCAATACGGAAAAGGCGCGTTAGCACGTGTCGGTACATTCACCGCCTGGAAAGGAGGCCGCAAAACCACCCCGTCAACACATTGGTAAGGTGGTCATTTTACAAAAAGTTTCCATTGGGCGCTAGCACCGTGTCTGAAAGAACCAAGCAGACTCAATCACGTGTTCATCAATCCCATCAACAGAGTTCTCGTGTCCAGCGGTAGCAGAGATACATGAGAATATCCCACCCGATGCCTGTAGCAGTCTTCTAAGTAAACGAATTCCCCCATGATTATGGTGTAGCTTCCGTACTCGCCGCGTATCGTAAGTGATGTGCCTAAGCTACCCCATTATGACGCTTTCCATCCGCTGCCTCGCACTAGCGTCTATTAACTATACAATGTCTTGTAAGCTTGAAGTGTATTTGTACCTTTCTTCCCCTACCTGGCGCATAGACAACAGATACAGTACATAACGTAGTAGCCTTTAACTAGCTTTTTAGCTTCTAAATAGTTATAAAAACTTAAAAATAAAATATATATATTTTAATAGATAGTAGACTAGTAAGCTAGTTAACGTACTTTATTATCGAACCCTCTATATTATCGAACCCCCCACGATTTCTTGGCAACGAAAATCAACGAAAACTAACTCGTTTTTCTTAAATAACTAAGCGAAACCTTAATATTTTTCTATAAAAATTTATATATATATTCTTTATAGTATATTATACCTTATAGTAAAGTTACACTAAGATATATTACGTAATTAAAAAGCTATACGTATTTAACTAACTTTTAGAAAAAATCTAGTTTACTTCTAGTAAGTACTATTATATCTCTATAATAATCTATAAAACTTCTATAGCGCTAGCTCTTCTAAGTATAGCGTAATAAGAGATAGAAGTTAGAAAAATATCTTCTTTAGAGTTTTCTCTTCTAACTATATAAACTTATTATTATATAAATTATAGTAGACTTTAACTATATA